CCTGCCGCCGAGCTCACCGCCCGCCGCGGCTGGGCCCGGGCCTTCAGGGCTGGAGGCGGCGGGGCCGCCGCGTCTCCCGGGTGACGGCTGGCCCCGGCGCCGCCATCTTCCTTCCCCGCCGCCGCCGCCACCGCTCCGGCCGCGGCGGAGAGCGCACTGCGCAGGCGCCGGACCGGCCCCGCGTCACATGACCGGGGAAGGCGGTGGGAGGAAGGTCACGTGGCGGCGGGCGCCATGATGGGAAGGTCAACTCTGCCATCCGTCCCTATTAGCCCACAAGCCTTTTTGTGGCCGGGGAAAAGCCGCCATGTTTGGAAGGTCAGTCCAGGGACACGCGTACCGCCCCGCCGCCATGTTGGAAGAGGCGGGAGAGCGAGGCCGCCATGTTGGGGAGGTCGGCTGTGAGGAGAAGGTGGCAGGGCGGCTCCCCTCACCTCCCCGGCCGCTTCGCAGGCCCCAGCCGCCGCCTTTCTCACGTCTCACTCTTTCCCGGGCTCACCGCCTCAGCCACCCTCCGGGGAGGCACGGCTGGGGCCTGGGGACCCTCCCTCTGCATAGAGCCAAGGCTTCCCTTGCTGCCCACCATGGCCCCGCCATGTCGCTGCATCTCCCTCAGGGCTTGGCCACCTCCTGAGGCAGGCGATGAGGCGGGAATGGCTCAGCAGGGAGAGAAGAGGGGATCCCACCCCATCCCTGAAGGATGGCGGGTGCCCATTTCGCCACGGAGTTGAGGAAAATAGGGAGCCCTCGGTGCTACTGGAGCCTTTCCCGTGGCGGTATGTACGTCTGGGCACACCAGGTCTGCGTTTTGACGTGCTGCTGAGTTGTGGGGTGACATTCCTTTGGGGAAGGGGCAGAGGAAGACGCCACCATCCTCTCTGTCTTCTATGGACCCACATCAAGTTGTGCCAGGGGAGGTTCAGGTTGGATATTAGGTAAAAAATTTACGGTAAAAGGGTTATCAAGCATTGGAATGGGCTGCCCAGGGAGGTGGTTGAGGCACCGTCCCTGGAGGTGTTCGAAAGACAGGTTGGGGGACATGGTTTAGTGATTATTTTTTTTTGTCAGAGTTAGGTTGATGGTTGGACTCGATGATCTTGAAGGTCCCTTCCAACCTGGGCAATTCTATAATTCTATCTACCACAGAGGTTGCTGCTCAGCATCCCAGGTGCGTGCCCTGCTGAATCCGATGCCCCAGATGCCTTGTGGAGGGCTGGGAGTGCCTGAAAGGAGACGTGGAATTTGCCTCACAGGCCCGTAAGTAACTCAGCATCTGTGTGTACGACCATTATGATCACATTCCCCAAAGATCTGCCATGTTTCCAGGTGGTTTTGAGGGACGCTCAGTCTCAACAGGAGCACCGTGGCCGGGAAATGGGATTTCTTACAGCATGGATGGAGGGAAACGTCCAAGAATAACGCCGCTAGGATGCTGGAGATGCTGCGGATCGAGCCAACAATGCTGGGCACTGCCTGCTGGAAAGCACAGTTCCTGTTTCCTTCTGGAAAAAAAAACCCCGGAGTGTGAGTTGGAACAGCCCGAGGCGGCTGCTCCCTTTCCTCCTGCTCCTGGGGAGGGGACGCTTGATCTCACACCCCTCCAGGGTACCAAAAAAGTGGAAATCCGAGGATATAATTTCTCCCCGAGCGCTGTACACCGCACTAACAGCTCCACTTTCCATAGAGAGCCCCCCAAAACCTGCTGTGAGGGTGCCCGGCGGGTCCCTGCCCAGGTTTTGGGGTTGGCAGAGAAGGATGAGGCTGCAGAGGGAGCAAAGCAGAGCAAACCCCAGCGTTTAGGTCAGGATTTCTCTGAGCTGGAGTAATTAGTGTTATTTTTAAGAAGCCGGTCGCCATCTGGTGGCAAGCTGCAGCTTCCCGGGCGGCGTTTGGGGGGAAAGTTTAAGGATTTAAGGGCACTTTCTCTTGTCTCTCTGTGCAAACGTTGATTTTTTTAGGACGCTGGAAGCAGTGTTTTAATTTTGCAGTGAGTGAAATTAAACGCAGCCCTCACCCCGGATACCTTTGTATCGCTCAAAACCCAGAGTAACACGTTGCTGTGATGAATATCCCAGCTACGAATGAGATAAACCTAATAAATTCATTTTATTTTGGGGGAAAATCTAGCTGGTTTTAAAGGTCGGAGCTGAAGCGGGCCTGGCTGCCCCTCAGGAGATTTCAAGATGAAAAGGGAGATAAATCGAGGTGACGGAAGGACACATGGGCACCTCACAGCCTTCAGGAGGGTCGGTTTGGATCGTGGAGAAGATTTGCCAAAAATGGGGTGGGTGCTTTGGTGAAGAAATCCAAAATTAAGGAAAAACAACGCCCACCCCCCCACAAACCCACCCAAGCTGTTTGAGGAGGGATCCCTCCGTGCCCTGCCGTGGCTTGGGCGAATCCCGAGGGAGGTCGTGAGTGTGCAAGGAGGAGGAGTGTGCAAGGAGGAGTGTGTGCGAGGAGGAGGAGGAGTGTGCAAGGAGGAGCGTGTGTGACGAGGAGGAGTGTGCAAGGAGGGGCGTGCGAGGGGCACACCCCCCCTTTACCTTGTGGTCGGTCCTCCCGCCCGCTAGGGGGCGCTCTGCTCGGCGCCGCCCGCACGTGGCGGCCCGCAGCGGCGCAGCGCGCATGCGCGCCGGGGGCTCCGCACGCCGGGGGGGGCGGTGGGCGGCGCGCGAGACAGCCCGCAGACACCCCACGCTCACCGTTGCAGACCAGCTGGAGGTTCTCCTGGTGCCGATCCCTCAGCTTCCGCCCGGCGAGCCCTAGGAGCACACAGCCTGTCACAGACCCTGCTGGCCTGACGGCCACAGCAGCCCGGCTGCCCCCACCGGCCCCAGGGGCCTGGCCACGCGCCCTCCTCCCCTTGGGCCCGCCTCAGCCCAGGCTGCTTCCCTGAGGGCGAAGGGAGGGACGCCCGGCGGGGTTGTGGCTCACCAATGAACCTGACGGCCGCCTCGCGCAAGGGCTGCTGTGGGCTCCGCAGGTAGGGCAGGCTCCACTGCAGGTACTTCTCCACCCTGCTGCTGCCCTCCGCCAGCTGGAGAGAGCACGAGGGCACAGGGTTGGCCCAGAGCCTCCCCCTGCGCCCAGGGCCTCCGGGGGGGGGTGGGGGGGCTTCACCTCACGGGGTGTAGTGGGGGAGCTGGGGGTTCACATCAAAAGCCCTTTTTGCCCCCTGGCTCGAGAGAAACGTGCTTCTTCAGTGGGACAAAACGTGGGGAGCCTTAGCGTGGCCTAGTGCGGCTTCCAGTATTGTAGCCCGAGTTCTCGCCTGCTTTTTTTAATAGCCAGCTCGAGAGCTGAAGTTTTCATCACGTCTCTCATGCTGTGAGACTCCGGAGCACTTCTGCGTGTTGCGATTGCAAAATAAAAATCATTATTTTAGCAGGAGTGTGGGCGGGTGATCTGCGGGGTATTCACAACAGCACGACTAGGGAAAGGAAACCGTCTCTTGCCGGTCGAACTCCCGTTTTAATAAGATCAGCGGGCTCGTTTTAACGATTAGAGGGCAGAACAATGACTCGGTGAGAAGACCGAATTTGATTCTGCTCGGGAGATTGGGTTACGCCTGGCCAGAAAGAGGGGAGCAAAATAGACCCTGTAACTCAATGCCCTCGCCCAGCGGCCTGGGAGATGCCAGCATCAGGCTGGCAGCGTCAGCCAAGCGCTCGCCCTCTCCTCTGGCCAATGCCCTGGGCCTGACTGCAGTCATAGGAAGCCTCGCGCCGGGTGGCGGAGTTAATTCCGGCGCTCGTCAAATCGTTCCATGAAGGGACATGGCTTGTGTCTGGGGGAGCTGGTGATAGCTGTGGCCTTGAGTAATGGTTTAAAATTGTAGGGCTGCTCAAATCCCAGCCCTCGGTTGGCTTTCCTCTTCGTCCTTTCAGCTCGTGCCTTTTAAGTATTCTTGTAAAGACCTTAGAAGGAAAAAAAAAATATCTCTGTCACCTGTCCTTTCTCACATCCTTTTCCAGTCCAAACTGCTGAGAATTTGTATTCATAAACTCGGTGGTGCCGCGGAACAGAGACATTTCTTGAGGAGCCACCGCCACGCTCGCAGCTGCTTTTGCAGTTGTCGGGGCTCCAGGTGGCTGCAAAAGCAGTGGGAGCGATGAGAAAAGTGAGCTGTCTGCGGCAGGAATCCTTCTTACGTAAGAAAAGAGACGGGAGCTGCCTTCTGGCATCCGTCGTGGTCTAAGAAAGGTCATTTTCCAACCCTGCCTGGCAGGAAGGAGACCCTCTGCTGCTGCTGGTGGCAGCAGGAAGCGAAAAGCAAAGCGGGATGGAGCGGAGGAGAACCCAACCTCGTTTTTGGTGGACCCAGTTGGATGCTGTGCAGTCAGGGACCGCATCCTCTCTGCGCTGATAAAGAAATCAAAGTTACCGGACGTGGGCAGGTTGAGAAGAGAGGAAGAGAGGGCAGGAAGAGGCTCTGCTGTGGAGCAGGCAGCGTGAGCGACTCGCCACTCAGCAGCTGAAAGAGATTTCAGGTGCTCGTGCTGCTCTCTGAGCCTGAAACCCTGCTGCACTCATCAGGCAGGGGAGCCTGGGAAGGAGATGGGCCTTCTCTTGAAGGTGTGAGGGGAAAAATGATGTTCAGCAAAGGCCTGTGATTATTTTTTTGTCCCAAGAAATTACCTTTAGTTTCTTTTTCCACTTTTACTTGGGGTGAGTCTGAGGTGGCACGAGATGGATCTCAACGTAAAGGTGTGATACCTTGTAGTCGGGGTCAGTACTCAAGAGGAAAGTGCAATAAAACATAAGAGACACCAAGGAGCAGCTTAAAATACATACTTTTGCTGTAATACTTACTACAGTTGAAAAACAGAGTTGTTACTTTTTTAGGCCCTATAGATTTCTCTGGGGGAATGGTAGAGTTGTAGCAAGAGATCCATGGTGGGTTTGTGATATGCCTTGCCTGCTTCTCGGCGTGGCAGTTTTTTAGTATTCTACCCAGAGAATGCTCTTTAGGACAGAAAGTACCTCAAATTTCCAATGCTGGTCCTTTGTTGCGTGTCTAAGTTTTGGTGCTAAGCTGGAAACATCCAGGAGGTCCAACACGAGGCAGTTCTGGGCTGACCAGAGATGCTGCAGCCTCCTGTTACAATATCACTTCATTTATCTCTTGCAGATT